AACCTTAAACCTCACACTGCAACACAGTCTCTTTCTTGGAGTAAAAAACTACTCTTTGGTAGGTATGACTGATAATCCTCCGGTACATGTTCCATGTCCTTCATAACTGCCACCCTGAATGTTTAACATAGAAACAGTCTTTATTCCTTTGTGATATTATTTGCGCTGACTTGACAGGAAGAACATACTGAATAAATGGAATTAGTTAGATTAAGTATTCTGATGATTTCCTTCCTAGAAAACCCCGAATACTGTATTTGTGATGATTACATCTGATTTGGATATTGAAGTTCTCAAGGAGATAAACCCCAAACTGAAGATTTCAAAAAGCTGCCAGACCTTTTGCATTTTATGGGCAAAATTTCAACAAAAGTGGGAAAATTGCTAGGATTGAACCCATTAAGATTCAAATGAAGCCATCTAAACCTCTATCCCTAAATGCAAAATATTCTTGTATTGTTTTCATTTTACAGATGAGAAAACTAAGGCAGTAGAAAACATACTGCTAAGAGCTTTTTCCAGAATACATTTTAGCTGATCAGTTTCTTTTTTAAGAAAAACAAACAAACAAAAAACCAGATGGCTAGATTGTTAGTTTATTTTTATTTTTTTAATTTTTAATTAATTTTTTATTGATTATGCTGTTACAGTTGTTCTATTCTCCCCTTCATTCCCCCCCACTCTACCCCCCGTCCCCACCATTACCCCCCTTTAGTTTATGACCACATGTCTCAAGTTCTTTACATTCTATATTTCCCATACTATTCTTGCCCCCCCATCTATTTTCTATCTACTGTCTATGCTACTTATTTTCTGTACCTTCTCCCCCTTCTCCTCCTCCCACTCCCCTGTTGCTAACCCTCCTTGAGATCTTCATTTCTATCTTTCCACTCCTGATCTAGCTGTCCTTTTAGTTTGCTTTTGTTTTAGGTGTGGTTGTTAATAACTGTGAGTTTGTTGTCCTTTCACGTACATGTTTTTTTAACTTCTTTTTCTTAGATAAGTCCCTTTAACATTTCATATAATAAGGGCTTGGTGATGATGAACTCCTTGAATTTGATCTTAAAAAGTAAGAAAAGTGGGCATTGATTTAAAACTCAAAATCCTAACAACTGAAGGGAAATTCTGGATTTCTTTCTTCTTTTCTTCAGCCTCTTTACTTTAAGCTTTACAAGAGGCCCTGCAAGTAGGGAAGGTGCTACATACTATGATTCAGAGAGTAGCGGATGAGCTACATAATGCCACCAAGGAAGTTTCATGAAATTACAATGACAGTGGCTCAGCTGCTTTAGTTATAATATTGGCCTCTCATAGAATAATATGTGCTGATTTTGAGTAAGAATGTTCTTATTTGCCTGTAGACTTCTCTGGTATCATTGATATTACTAAAAAATCCAGGAAGCAAATAAAGAAGTCAGAAAATTGGGTGATTTGACTAATAACCCTATATCTTGTTCTAAAGGACCTCAGTTGGAGGACCAACTGAGGAAGGGATTTATTCTCTTAGCTTAATTTTGTTGTTTTATTTCCTCCAATTTTATTGAGACATATTGACATACATTGTTGCGCAAGTTTAAGGTGTACAGCATTATAACTTGACTTTCATATACTGTGAAATGATTACCACAGTAAGTTTAGTTAACACTATTATCTTATACTGACACAAATATTTTTTTTCCTTCTGTTAAGAACTTTTAGGATCTACTTACTCTCCTAACAGCCTTCAAGTATATCACACAGCAGCGGTAACTATAGTCATCATGTTGTATATTATACCTCCAGTACTCATTCATTTTATTTTTGGAAGTTTGTGTCTGTTGACTACCTTCATCCAATTTCTCCACCCAATACTCTGGACCTCTGGTAACTGCAAATGATCTATTTTTCCATGATTTTTAAAAATTCCGCATGTAAGTGAGATCATGCAGGATTTACCTTGCTCTGACTTATTTCACTTATGCCCTCAAGGTCTATGTTGTTGCAAAAGGCAGGATTTCCTTCTTCTTCTTCTTTTTTTTTTAAATCACAACTTCTTCAGCTATTCATTTGTTGATGAACATCTAGGTTCCTTCTCTGTCTTGGCTACAGCAAACAAAGCTGCTACGGTCATAGGGGTGCAGGCATCTTTTCGAGACAGTGATTTTGTTTCCTTTGTACCCAGAAGTAAAATTGGTAGCATTTGATATTTCTAATATTAACTTTTTTGAGGAAACTCCATACTGTTTTCCATAGTAGGTGTACCAATTTCCAATCCCACCAACAGTGCACAAAGGTTCACTTTTCTCTAGTTTTCTTTTGTCTTTTTGATGACAGCCATTCTAATAGGTGTAAGGAGATATCTCATTGTACTTTTGATTTGCATTTCCCTTACAATTAGTGATATTGAGCATCTTTTCATGTACCTGTTAGCCACTCATGTATCTTTTTCTAAAAAAATGTCTATTCAGGTCTTCGCCCATTTTTAATTGGATTATTATTATTATTTTTGCTTTTGAGTTGTATATATTTTGGATATTAATCCCTTATCAGTTACATGGTTTGCAAATATTTTTCCAATTCCCTGTGCTGTCTTTTCACTTTACTGAGTTTCTTTTGCTGTGCAGAAGCTTTTTAGTTTGATTCAGCTCCATTTGCTTAATTTTGATTTTGTTGCTTAGTCTTTAGGTGTCATATCCAAAAAAATCATCACCAAACTCATGTAAAGGAGCTTGTTTCCTATGTTTTTTTCTATGAGTTTTAGGGTTTCTGGTCTTACAGTTAGGTCTTTAATTTATTTTGAGTTAATTTTTGTGAGTGGTGTGAATTGAGTGTCCAGTTTCATTCTTTACATGTGAATATCCAATTTTCTCAGCATTATTTATGGAAGAGACTATCTATTTTCTGTTAAGTATTCTTGGCTCTTGTGTCAAATATTAATTAATCACAGATGCTCTTGATTCTGTTCAATTGGTCTATGTATCTGTTTTTATGCAAGTCCCATATTGTTTTGAAGGAACAATAGGGACATACAAGAAGGATCCATCATGTTTCCTTGGGGAAACTTGGAGAAGGCATCACAGAGATCACATGAACTCAGTCTCAACAGATAAGAATTTTCTAGGAAAACAAGGGGAATGGATATTTTATGTTGCAGGAGAAAGGGTCCAAAGGAATAGAGGCAGGACACAGTACTGAGAGAATGGTGAACTGCTAATAGGGTCTACATGACTGCAATATAGTAATACATGGCAGAGGAAGAAATAAAGAGAGATAAAAGTAGACTAAGCAATAAGATATTGAGGTTAGGAAGTTCAGAGTTAGAACAGCTTATGGAGATGAAGGAATTCTGGGTATGGCTATGGGTATAAGTAATAAAGTGGGGCTGAGAGGAAAGAATTTTAACTTGTAGAAGTCACAGAACTATGAGGCTATGATGTTAGATGGGCTCTCTTCATGGATCTAAATAGCTATATGGACCACCTACATGACAACTGCACCCTAGAAAACCATGATTAAGAAAAACCTGGACCTTCGTGATGTCTTACCAAAATGATTAATAGCAACCAAGCCAGTAAGAGCATTAACTGAAATGAAAGACAGTCTTAACAACACAAAGATCCATTAGAGGTGAAAAAGGTTCAAGAAGTCTGTTCTCTGTAAGAAATTATTTTTGTTCCTAATCACCATCAGTTTATTCATCATCATTTGAAGATCAACCATAAATGGAAACTGTACAGTAATCATCACAAAACATCATTTTAAAGTTCATTTATCCCTATTATTTTATTTTAGTGAATATTCAATCATCATTCCCTTGACTCTTAGGTTTCTTAACCTTAGTATGGGACTATAAGACTTTACATCTCTTATAATTGAAGAGTCTTCTTCAGATTCTCATGCCTTCCAAATGTGAACACTCACTAAAGTGTAGAAGTTAAACAGAGCTGTTCATGTTTATTTTTACATAACTCTGACATAAAGGTCCTGAGCAAACAACTGCAATGTGCTTGCCTCTCAATCCAAGGGTTTCGAGGTGAGGTAACAGTTTCACAACACAGAAATGGGAAAAATTTACATTGAAGACAATAAAATAAAAAATTAATTTTTACCTATTTGAAGTACTCCGATTATATTTTGATTGTTAAATAATAAACACATTCTACTGGAAATATAAATCATCTCATTTACTAAAACTTCCAGTGGTGAAACTATCAAATAGACCCATTTCAGTATGATCCAACTGTACTTTTTCTCTTAACAAAGATGAGAAAGAAGAAAGGATGACACCATTAATATTAAGTGAAAGAGAACAGTATTAACATAATTAGCACTTATGTAGCACTTTTCTCTTAGGATCCCAAACCTTTTAAGGGACAACATTCAGTGTCACATAATTTCAAGGATACAGGTAAGGAAAAGCTATTTATGGTTCCGTTTTATAAAATAAGAAAAAATGAATAATATAAGAAGCTAAAGGACTTCCAAGTCAGTATTACTAGTAATCAAATAAAGGAAATAAAATAAAGGTTTCTTCATCCATAGTTCAGGGCACTATTTCTAAAACATGTGCCTGTGAGGTAAAGAACTTTCAGGAATTCATATTCACAAAATGATCATGATGTATCCTCTCAGGAGTGACTTTTTATTTTTCAGTTAAGAGCCCTTTAGTGAATTTATATTATGATTGTTTTCAGTTAGTCTGTTTTTAAATAGCTTTTTGCAGTGGGCAATGAAAGAGCGTTCTCATCCTGGAATCACAGAGGAGTTCACTACCACCCTAGCTAGGAGTGCTATCAAAGTTTTGCTGCCAGCTTGCAGAAACAATCAGAATAAGGGAAACATCCATTAATATATTGATACCAATACTTTTAGAAGGTAAAAACTCTAATATTCATATTCTTGATATAAATGTTACCTACTACCTTCTTCATTCTTCTACCAAAATGTGATTTTTTAGTTCTCATTCCCAGTGAACCCAAAACACTAATTCAGTAGTCCATCTAAAATAAGGACATACTTACTGGCTCTGAGGATGTTTTCCTTGCTGCTGCACCTGGACTGCACCTGCAGAGAAAGCATAAACTCAGTAATTTAGGGCTTAGAACATAGGTAGCCAGATATGCACACAGTCCTACTGGGCAAGCTCCTGAGGTCTAGGAGCAAAGGTTTTATATATCTCAGATACCACAACTTGTTAGTAAAAATTTATTATATTTGTTCCATATGTTTTATATGATCATTTCTTCACTTTAAACAACTAATTTACAGAAAAAATGGGTGTATAATATTGTAAGTGTGACAGAGGTAAAACCAAAGGCAATTTTTTGTTGATGTGTATTTGAAATTAGTATATGGAAAAAAATTCAAGTTACCAGATATTCAGTTGTGAAAATAGACACTTAATCATAAGGCATTATGAATATCTCTCGACTAGAATAATGCAATTCAAGTAATGAAGTTGTAATCAAATACTCTATTATCTTTTTTGGTTATGTATGTTAATAAAACAAAAAAAGAAAAATCTTCAGATGCAATATTTATGTGTGATTTTAATGACATTTGTTATTTATTAATATTGGTTATAAAAGATGCTTCTGTTGGAAATCAGTGAACCTGAACACATTTCTCAGTTCTTATGTCTGTATATAGTTTATCAATCAGAAATCCTTAGGCTTTGATTAAAATATTTTAGTTCAAAGTGGGACATTCTTTCAAATGCTGCAAAACTGATGAATTCAAGAGCCACACTGAATGGCAAAACCACTTATTAATTTTAGAGATAATTGTATTTAAACTCCACACCTCTTCTTCCCATTCCACAGCAGCTTGCCCCAAATGGATATATACACAACAAATTAACTTCTATTGCTTAACACAATCTACTATTGTAATGAAACAACTTATGAAAGGAATGTTGCAACTTAGGGTGGGTTATGGTTGTCCGTCCCTGAAAAAAGCAATTGTTAATGCTTAAAAAAATAAAAATAATCACAAACATACACACAAGAAAAAAAAAAAACACATACACACCAAAAAAAAAAAAAAAGAAAAAGAAAAGAAAAAAAAAGGAAAAATAAATCCAGATGTTAAAGTTATTCTCTTTTGGTCCAGATTGTTTAATTAATTTTAAATATACTAGAATAAAGAAGCTAATGTAAAACAGTATTTTTATATTCTTTTATTCAGAATTTTTATTGAGGAACAATTCTGGACCAAATGGGAAAAAAATTAATGACTACTTAAAACAATATAGGGAGGAAAACACAAGAGCGAGATAAAAAAAGAGAAGAGAGGGGCTTGAGGAAGTAACTCTAGTAAATAGAAAAGAAAGTATGGGTTTATAGAAGGTACAATATGTAAATGCAGAATGTTCTGCTATTTCTTATTGAAAATTCATACCAAGAAGGTAAGAATCACTAATGAACTTGCTGCAAGATAAACAAGCAAGTTGGCATACCATGAAATGAAAATAGGTGTAACTATACCACTACAGCCATAAAGAAGAAAATAAACAAATGCTAATAGAAAAATTAATAGACAAGCTTAATACAGAGATAAACTACATTCTAAAAAGCGATTCAAAGAACACAAGAGAAAGCTAAAGAGTGAGAGAATAATCTGGGAGAGAGAAGAAAAAGAAAGGGGAGAATGTTTAAAGACAAAAACAGAGTTCAAAGAAGTCAAATGGAAGTCAAGAAAGTCTTCAACAAGATGTAGAAACAGAAGGAGCCCAAACCCATAACGCAAAGCAATGTTTGCGAATGGAAAGCAGCTCCTTTGATCAGTAATAGTTACTCTTAAGTCGTAGCCTCTATTCCTCCAGAGTTCATCTTTAAGCCCTTCCAATCTAGAGTGGAGCTAGTGTATGGATAGAAACAAGAGATTTATAATGAACAGAACAGTTCAGATGAGTAGTTTAATTTTTCTCATCAAATGTTTCAACAGATTTGTATAGTGTCTAAATGGAAATGGTGGTGAAGAACTACCTGGCTTTACCAAAATAACAAAACAAAACAAAAAACAAACCCAAACCAAAACAACAATAAAAGAACACCATCTCCCTTCCTTAGATGGCTTAAAAAGTTAACAAAAAGTTCATTCATACCATAAATTTAATAACTAAAACTAAGTTTTGCTTTGTGGCACCTCAGTTTAGAGCTGTATATTTCAAACAGTTTTGGAAGAGAAATTTGGACAATAAAAACAATTCAATTCCCTGAATCTGGGTTATTTATTTAGGTTCACAAATTGTCAACAGCAGTATAAACCAATGTTTTCTCAGCTATGTTACACTGGGTATTTGACCCAGAGTTGAGGAAAAACACTTTTAAAATAAATAATTACATAAACTTTACTGATCTTAAGTATCTATGTAAAAAAACTGAGGAAAATAATTTTAAAAATATTTATGCATGTAGCAGATGCTCCTCTCTTTTACATCATGAAACTGGTCATGTTTAGGTATTTACTTCACTTTATACAATCCCAATATAAAGATTTTATCTAACTCACAATGAAATGAAATTTACTTGAAAGAATAAAGTTGAGAAGCAACTATTGTTCTTGTTATTACACATATGAATTATAAAGAAGGTAACATGGATCTGTCTTAAGTTTAATGGTTTATCGTTTTATTTTTCTTTATCTTACCCTGGCTTTTCAATGGAAATTAAAGAAAACAAAACAAAGCCAAGATTTTGAAGACTAATAGCAATTTGTCAAACATAAAAAATGAAAGGTATGGTATTAGATTATTTATTACTTTATTCTGTTGGAATACACCTGACTTTATGGTGTTGACAATGAAGTCTCTTTTCAACTGGAATCAAAACTAAAACAATGTGTAGAAACAGTGTATTATATTAAAGTCAATGGAGGAAATTAAATATACAGGAGACTTACTAAAAACATAAATATTCATTTACTAATCAAGACTGCTTTCAGACATCAAATAATTCACTTAATTCATTTCAACATGTGTTTATATGTGTAATGTAATTTTGCTGAGGATCACATTGTCAATTAGCAATTCTTAAAGTCATGAAATAGAAAACAAAATGGGGGAGAGCACATAACAAATGGTAAGGGGAAAAGTGAAAATGCTTTAAACAAAGCCAAGAAAATTTTAACAAACAACCACAATCTGTAGATACAGTTAGAGAATTGACTTACCTTATGCTTAGGTCATAACAAGAATAGCACAGTGTTTAAAGTCAGCTCTTCATTATGGGAGGTACAATTGAAAGCCATAGGTTATAATAACATGTATTGCTACACAGAAGTAAAACTTTTTCAGCCCAACATGAAAAGCTAACTCTTATGGGAGAACATTTCAACTTATGTTTAATGCAACATGAAGAACAGTTGAGGGTGTAAACATCAAAACGCATGAATCTCACACCAGTAAGAGAGAGAGAGACCAGTCTCTCAGGAACACAGAAGATTTAATCTGTGACCATAATCTGTGACACATATGGGAAGGCACATCACTCTAACATTGAAAGATGCATGCATGAGGTATAACCACCCTCAGACAAGCCTCCACCCGAACCCCCACCCCACTTGTACACACACAAGCCCACTAAGGTACAGGGAAAAGAATGTAGTGCCAAGCTGTTATGAAGAAAGCAGGACACACAGAAGCGCAGCAGTGGTTATGCGATTTGAGAGGTGTTCTTCCCTTAAACCATCCCATCACCATGCTCATTTAAAGAAGCCAGGAAAAGACCCTCTTCAATGCTGCAGTAGCTACGAGCCCCCAGCATGAAGCTAGTGTGTGGAATTTTGATCACCGTTCCCTGCGATGTCAGGGGCTCTCCAGTGGAAGCCAGATGTGTAACACCAGTTAGTGGGGTACAATGTGTGAATAACAAACACCTTTCCCTTCTGCATCTCACAGAAGTGAGGGAGGAGAAAAACAAATAAAAGCAAATCCACATTAAGAGTAGGTTCATAACAATATAAATATGTATAAATATTAAAATAAAGATATTTGACTGCAGGTTCACATGACTTAGGTTTCTTAAAAACTGTCTCTATTTTGCTGCTCACCAGGCTAGTATGTACTTTTTCCCTATAAACACTTGGAATAAATTAATCAAAAGAATATGGCTCAGTGAAAAATTCTGAGCAGTTGGTCAAATGGGGTTAAAGTCAAGAACAAAATTAGTCATCTTTGAGAAATATTAAGCCCTATATATTTTTAGCATAATTTTACTGGTCAGCAATCACATTCAAAATTAGAAATTAAGCTTCTATAATCTGCTTACTCATGTAATCTGAGAAATTCTATAGCAGTTTTTTTTAAACACTCAACTTAAATTTTAACCCTTTTTACATTTTAAAAAGCAAACAACAAAAAACTATCTATTTAGAAACATTACTTTCTTTCCTGTGTGCTTTTCTCTACTGTCAGTCAAAGATGGGCTGTTCTTCTTCCTGTCAATAATGGGGTCATATCAGCTCTTTAGGAAAAAATTCAAATGTGCTTTTCTATAACTGAGGATAGTAGTTAACTTCATCTATTTTATTTTTTGTATGAGATGAATTTTGAATCATGTGTGGCATGCAATTTAGTTAACAGTTTTTTAATTGCTCAAACATCAGTTATGTATCTCACCATTTTCTCTCCCTCATCCTATTCTTAGCAGGCCAGAATATCTTCACCTTCTTCTTAGCATGTCTGTATTTTAGGCTCTAGGTCATTCCTTAATATCAGTTTCCTGACAGGAATATAAAGACCATGGGGCTGAAAGGAAATAAGTATCAGTGGTTTTAGCTATCAAGGTGGAAACAAATGTCAGGAGCTGTTATCAGGGGAGCCATTGACAGTTGTGAAATAACTCTGTAAGCACACACTCTCTTCTTGTAACTTCCTCATCAGCTCAAAATGGAAGCAAATACTTATTTTTAATTCAAAGGAAGAAATTTATTAATGTACAGTTATGTTTTACAATAGGGGTCGACCAAAACTGTTTGGAAATGCCATAGCCATATAGCCATATGTACTGGTAGGAAGGCAAGACATAATCTAAGGCATGGGGTGAAGTCTGAATTACCTCCTC